ACCACCTCCCCTCCATTTTTGCAGACTAGGAAAAAGAATCCCTGGAGAAGGGATTTGACTCTGAATACCAATGACAGAGCTAAGGCTTTGACTAGTGTCTTCCTCATTCCAAGATTCATGGGTTGTTCATTACCGTATGTTCCCTTCCATCTAATTCTTTCCTCTGTAAAATCCACATGGCTTAATCAAATTTTTTATATCGCAGTTGTTTACTTTGTTAGGCCAAATCTTTTGATACGTGCTGATCAAAACAGTTGAAAAATCATCAGAGCACTGACAACCAGTTTCAACTGAATAATCATTATGATTTGTGCAGCCCTTGAAAGACAGTGAAATAGGCTAACTAATGGAGCTAACTAATGGAAAAAGGTATGCAAGGAGAATATTGTATCTTTCTCAGAGGATACTTAAAAATATTACATGTCCAAGATTGTATTTCTGCAACAACTGACTGCAAGGTTGTTAAGAGTTTATATAAAGCTAACCATTTTTCAACATGCAAATTTGAAGAATACAGTCTAAATTATTAAATTAATGTTTTCAGTAGCATAGAAAACCCAGTATTTCCTAACCAATTCCTCTTTTAAATAGAATATAGATAATGTGGCTTGGCTGGCATTCACATCAATCATGCCATAATAGGTTCTGAAACAGTTTGTGGGGTTGGGTGGGCCTTAAGTGGTTTTGCATTAGACCAGTAGTTAAGAAAGCAACTAGAGAGGAAACTTCAGTTTTAAATATAGGTCACACCATCCTTATTCAAAAACATTCAGGGCTGGCACTGTGGCAGAGTGGGTTAAAGCTCTGGTCTGCAGTGCCAGCATACCATATGAGCACCAGTTCTAGTCCTGGCTGCTTCTCATAGCTCTCTGCTATGGCCTGGGAGGGCAGCAGAAGATGTCCCAGATCCTTGGGACCCTGCACCCAAGTGTGAAACCCGGAAGAAGCTCCTGGCTCCTGACTTCGGATCGACTCAGCTCTGGCCCGTTGTGGCCATCTGGGGAACGAAGCAGTGGACAGAGGACCTCTCTCTCTTTCTCTCTCTCTCTCCCTCCTCCCCTCCCTCTCTCTGTAACTCTTTCAAATAAATCTTTAAAAAAATGTATAAACTAGAAATTTTATATTACTTCCTGAAAATGCAGGTTTCTTTTAAAAAATAAAAGTTAGTTGAAAAACATTGGTGTTTCCTAAAATTTAAAGAGTAGGCATATTTATTTCTTAATATCATTTATATTCTCACAAATTAAGTAATTTCTTCTTCTGTTATTGATAATCCACTAGCAAAATTAACACTAAATTATATTTAACTAGACTTACATCAGAAAACATAAAATTTTCTATAACTGCTAACTTGGGATGGAAGAATAAGAGAGTGACAAAGCAAAGATGAAGACAAAGCAGAATCTGAATTTTTTCCAAAAAATGCAATATTCAAAATTAGATAGTTTAAATAAATCAATAGGGAAAATATTGTCAACTGTTCAATCTTATTGGTGGTGTATCCATGGTCACGATATTTTTCTTCCTCTATTTCTGCAAATACAAAATTCTTTTAAAGCACTATTGCCAGGATATCTCATAGATTCTTCTGCATCTATACTGCACTATTAACTGATGTCATAGAGGCACTAAAGCCAAGGGGGTAGGAGCCATCAGCTTTGGAGGCAAATTGCCTCAGTTCAAATCCCACCTTTGCCAGTTACTAGTTGTGTGTAAATGCACTGACCTTCGATTTCTTTGTTAGTATATGAGGATAGTAATAGTCCTCTACTTCAAAGGAGTTCCAGTGAAACACCACATTCAAAATGCCTAGCACAGGGCCTACCCCATAGTAAATGTTGGATTACCATGTCATTACAATGACCAGAGGCTGGGATCCTGAGGGTACTATCAGAGGGGGAAAATGAACAAATGGCATTACATTGAAGTTCGCGAATATTTAGGTTGCACTGCAGTACATGCACAATCCTGAGTGTACAGAAAAATACTAGTGACATTACATACAAGTTTGGGAATATCCAAGTTGCACTGCATGAAAAATCAGTAACCCATACTTAGATTAGATAATGCAGAGCCTTTGGTCACTATTAGAATAATAAGGGTAACCTAACAGTTACAGGACACTTTACTTCAGACCAGACACTATGCTACAGACTTCATATGAAGTTTCACATTTGAACTCATGTGGAGCAAAGAAGTTCGTGGACCTCAGTGGCCTTATTTATAGAAATGAAGTGGCTTTTAGATGTAAGTAATCCCAGAGGGAACAGCCACTCCAACCCAGGAGAGCAAATCAACTTTATTAGAATAAGGAAGCACATGTACTTTGGAAAACCACATTCAAATAGTTATTGCTTTTACAATATAAACCACATTAAGCAAAGTTCAAAAAACTTATTGTGTTGGTAGGCATTGGTAAAAGAAAATTAGGAAGTACTGGGGTAGATGCATGGATTTTTTAAAAAATATTTTAAAAAATATTAAGGCACATTAGGGTAGATCAGAGTTGATAAGTTGGTGTTCTATTAAATAAACTCTTCAACCTAAAGAAAAATATATTTTCAAAAATAAATGAAATTTTAAAAAGTCAACAACACTACTTGCTATTTTCTCATTTTTAGAAAAATTATTTAAATAAATGCACAAAGAAAAAAATCTGTACACAAGATGCAAGATGTTCTGCTTTTGTTTTTTAAGTATACCTGATGTAGCTATCAACACAAATTGCAATGAAGTCTCATAATATTCCAAGCCAAATTAGTTCTCTGGTTCTAACAGTCCTGCAAAACTCTATCTTTCCATTTTAACAAAGAAAAAGAATTGAGACATAACGTGCATGTGTATGTAATTCTTCCAGAAGTTAAATAAATAATGCTCATTTTTTTCAATCAAATATCTTCTCATATAAATCTTTTGGCCATTTTTGCCTACTCAGTAGCACCACCAAGGATACAAAGAGATCAAATCCAATGTAGTCCATTTGGCTCTTATTAGCACCACTGGTCAATAGCTTGCTGAGAAATAACTGGCAATCACCCACACTAGTCAGTATAGGGCCTGGTGAAATTTTGTGAATTTTAATCTCTCCCAATCTCCATTTTGGGAGCCAGTTAATCAAAGGCTTGTGTATTCAGACTCAGCTCCTAGAAAAAGGTAATTAGGTCTGTCCACACTATCAGTTCCCAAGCTCCAAACCTCCTTATACGATTTTAGGTTATCCGTCTAAGTCTGGATGTGGGTAGGAACTGTCAGAATAAAAACAGGGATGTTAGAAAGAGGGCCTCTCCTAACTGCCCTACCCCTTCCAAAAGCAGGCACATAAATTCCAGAAAGCAGATTTCTTCTTTTCTCTATCAAACGAATCATCTTGCGATGTCTCCTTATTTTATCAAAATAAACTTGAGAAAATGGGAAGATATTTTCCTTAATATTAAATTTTCCCATATCTGAAGGGCCCTTGTGAAAATTTACCAAGATCCTCTCATTAAAAACTCTCAAACACACAACTTAAAGATTCCTTGGCTCCCTTGGACTATCCAGAATGATAATTCCTGTTCTAATCTAGAGTCAAGTTCTTCTCAATAACTCCAGGCCCTCCTTAATGGACGGCAGCCATCACAAACATCTGAAATGTAAAGAGCAACAAAATGAAGGTTCCAATTACACCTGACACTTTAAATTGCCTCTGTCAAATTGTCAGTTCCGCCATCTTCCTGCAACACTCAAAGGATTTCCATTGGGTTTTCCTGACCACCCAAATTGGGTCTTGTCTGGAGCCTTCCGCGTTCCTTCCTTTCTCTTTGTTTTTTAACTGAGCCTTAAAGCTTACAGCCACATCAATTTGTAAAAGAAGGATGAGTGTTTGCTGGAGAGCAAAAGCCGCCCCCCCACCCGGTGAATACATATCCTCACCACCACTTTCCAACCCAGGATGTCCAGAACACTGCCAGCTGCTGTGGCTGTGGACTGGATCAGAAAACAAGAACAGAAAGAAGGGCATTCTCCATTTAATCTTTTTGTCTGAAGCACTTCCTGGGTTTTTCACTGGCATTTAACACCAAGACACAAGACTCATTTTTCATTAAAGTTGCAAGACTTTCACTTTGCCTAGTTTCAAATGGTGTAATTGATCTGTATTGTCTTCTTAAATAATCCAACTGGTGAAGGACACTGCAGCTTTAAATATTTCAGTGCTAGCTAGCAAATAGACTCCATTGCAATATGGCTCTGAAGGTCGTGTCCTATTGTCTCTTTCCTCTGGAAAAAAAAAAAAAAAGCCGAACAATTTCTAAATCCTTTTTCTAGGTAACATGGGAAGAGCTGCCCTAGGATTTCTATTCTTCCACCTCGATCATTTACAGCGCTCTGGGTGTTTATTGGAATCTCACACTTATAATTTTCCCGGCAGGAGCAATATGCCGATTGTTATTAATGATTCCAGCACCTTGGTGAGACATAAACACATGTGTTCACGTTAGTTTAATTGAGCATATGCAACTGTCTGAAATAGCACCACTCAAAGGCTGTTAACCTCTTTAACAGTGAGGCCAGGGCGGTTTGGGTGTGGACGGCTTTCAGGCGGCATCCCGAGCCTGGATTGCATAACCTGAAATGTGTAGCTACTTAAAATGATAGGAATCTAAGCCTACTCATCCTGGGACTATGTAGGCACTCTGCCATACACTTGCAGCTTTACTTGTCAAAGAAGGTCAAAATACCAGGCGCAGGCACGGTGAAGGACTAAATAAGCCCAAAGAGGCCCTATTCTACCCTAACAAGGTGCATAAATAGGATTCCTCAAGCAGTCACAATTTTCTCCCAACCTCATCTTGCCGAGTGCAACTGCCCCAGTGAACTGGAGGCACTGGCAAAAGGCTGGGGAGCTGGGTGCTGCTGCCCTTCTTAAAGAACAAAAACAGGTGGACGATTAAAATGCAGGGAAGAAGGGGCAAAAGAGGCAGGGTGAGAGGAAGGTGTGGGCAGGTGCACCCGGGTATTACCTGAAATGGCAACAGATTGTTACCATTATCGGTCCGGAAAGCGTTATCCTCCATCCAGGACTTGGAGGTGAGTGGGGCCGCGCGAGGGAACTTGGGCGGTGCGATCACATTGCTGGAGAAGGGCTTTTTGAGCGGTGATATGGGGTTGAGCGGGGAAGGCACCCCGACGCCCACGCCCACGCCCACGCCAACCGCCCGGCGAGGGTCCCGGCCGGCCTGCAGGCCGCCCCACGGGTTGGACGGTGCACTCCAGGCGGCGTTCACGCTTTGGTGCGTGTTCCAGCTGGACGAGGCCGACGAGGCGGCGGCGGCAGCGGCGGCGGCAGCGGCGGCCGAGGACGAGGACGGCTTGCTGGTCATGATGGGCTGGTGGCCATACGCCGCGGCGGCGCTCCTCTGCGCATAGGGCGCCTGGCTGGGGCTGGCCGGCGACCGGCGCTGCTGTGGGGGCTGCGCCTGCGGGGGTTGCGCCGCCTGCGTGGGCTGCGGTGCAGGCGGTGGCGGCTGCTGGTGGTGCTGGGTCTGCGCCAGGCCGATCTGCTGGGAGAAGGTGCCTCCGAAGACTGGGTTGACATGGTGCGGGAAGTTCTGGAAGAGCATGGTCCCGTTGACTGGGGTGATCCCCTGGAAGAAGCTGTCCTCCACCGCGTTCGTGGTGCCCGTGGACCAAGTACTGCCGAAGGACGGCGACAGCGACGCGCCCGGCGCCGTGGGCTCCTGAGGCGGCGGCGGCGGCTGCTGAGGCGGCTGATGGAAACTCAAGCCCGGCAGGAGCGGCGATTCCATCTGCATCTTGTCCGGGCCGTTCGGGGCCTGCGGGGCCGCGGCAGGACTCAGGGCCGGCACTGCGCTGCTGTCCTCCGGCTTGGGGGTCTCTGAGGAGAGGGGCGTGGACGCGGCTTCGGCTGCGCTGGGCTCGGGCTGGGGCTGCTGCTGCTGCCGCTGCTGCTGGGGCTGGGGCTGGGTTTTGCTTTTGTCCATCAGTAAATCATCCTGCATGGTTTGCGCAGCTGAAATGGGAAAAAAGAGAGATGCGTTATTGTCAAAGTGATCATTAAGGCCCCTCGCTGAAGCGGGTGGGTGTTTTACTTGCGAAAATCCAGTGCTGCCGCTACTAGCCAATTGCAATGCAAATCCATAATCTCCCATTTAGAAGAACAGGTCGGGCTGGGGAGGGGGGTGGGGGCTTGCGCAAAGTCTCTAAAAATACTGTGAGCGTCTTCACCCTTTCTGATGTCTCGGTTCCTTTTCTGTGTGAGTGAGAGATGTGCTTATAAGACAGAAAGACAGCAATTTCGCCACGTCTCTTTTCCCTTCACCGGAACTCAGAGTGTTCACCCTGCAATGAGAAACTGATTCTGGTTCCTGTTTTTTCCCAAGCACCACCCTCCCCCAGTTATTTGCATACGTCAATAAATACTGCTGCGTCCTTCAGCAAGGTTAAAAAGACACCGCACGCACAACCCTTTCTTTCCCCTTCCCCAGCTCGAGCAATAAAAAACAGCAGCCTTATCCCTCTTGATTAGCAAGCTGCCTCCTTGCGTTTATAATTGTTTCATTTAGCTGCCGTGAGCCACGAGGGAGGAAATCCTTGGCATTTGTTAGGAGGACTCAGCTGCACAATCATTCTCTGGCTTCTCAGTAGCTGCAGCTACTCCATTTTGTTAGAAGACATTTGAAAACCACCGTTTTTAAGGACGTAAAAACCTGCTGAAACGTTTGGAAGTGCTTGCGTCTTGATACTCTAAGGATTACGGTTTTTCCACTTATTCTCCAATTTCCTTGTCTCCAATTCTGCTGCACAAGAGATTTCTTGGCATCTCAGTGCTTCAGGTCTCAACAGGAGCCTGAGAATTTCTCTGCAGAGTGGAGAAATGCTTCTGGTTGGATTTGAGGTGAGAGAGAGAGGGAGGAGAGGAGAGACCGTGAAACAGGGTGGGGGTGGGGCTTTTTAACAATCCCTCAGATTTATGCAGACAGTCAAGTTAATTCGGGGGTTGCCAGATTTTCATTTTTGTATTCTGCCTTGGTCACAAGACTTTGGCAAATTTAGAATCCATTCCCTTATCACTAGTATTAGCAGTGAAAGACTATGGTTTGAAGACCCGGAATTACCATATGCTAGCAAAAGTGTTATAAATAGAGGAATATAAAGTCCCAAATTCCATACATAGTAATTATAGTGCATCGCCATCAATGCTTCATTTAGTGATTTAAGGAGTGTATGGTATTTTCCATTTTACATAGAAGGGCTATATTCACTGTTGCCTTATAGCCTATTTCCTTATTCAAGGAAGAAAACAGTAATCATTCAAAACCAGGAGATTTCCATATATGTAGTTAGCATTAAGTTAGCTTGTCCCTTAGAACATGTTGTTTTAAATATATTAATATTACAGTGCTGAGACCCTGAAAACAAATATTTTGAAGTGTTGAAGGAGCATATGACCCAACGTACAATTATTTTTAGATGATGATTCAGTATAATTGCAACAAAGTTATTAATATATTTAATGCACTTAATTAACTCAGAAAAGCGTCATTCTTAGAACACTTGTGAAAGGGTATTCAGATACACACAGAAGCTTTGCTTTTGCACATCCTCATAAAAATAACTATTGTAAAATAAATATTGGAGAATGGAGGTATTACTGCTCTTAACTACTAAGCAAATAATGTCAGACCAATAAATGGGATTAAAAGTAGTTCTACTATTTTATTAAAGACTACCATTAAAATGGCTGATATCTTTCATTTCAAAGTTTCATACACTAAATAGTAGGCTCGAGGAAATGTTTCACAGCTACCTTACTCTCTTTTCTACTCTTCATCTCCTCATCCCCCTGCTTTCTCCCCACCCGCCCCCACCCCCGGAGAAAAAATGCCCACCCCCAATATACACATCAAAAATTGCCACACACTACCAATAAAACCTACTAAAGATTGCTTTTATGTGCCTTAGCTCACTTGGTCTAAAACAATGGCTTTGATCAGTATTTTAGAACACAACACAAAGAGGCAAGCAAAGCTTGGATTCAAACAGCACAAAGTTATATTGCTGCCAAAGAAGATGGTCATAGAAAGAGACATTTTCATACTTGGTTTAAATAGTGCTGCAGCAAACCATTATAATCTAGGATTTGAGTCATTGCCAGTAAACTAAATTGTCTTTACAACAGCCCTATCATCATGGCTGAAATATGCATTTGATTATAATTTTAATATCACCCAGCTTTTCCGGTTGCTGGTATCAATGCTTTTTATTAATGCTTTCAGTTTAAACTACATGCTCTTGGTGGACAAATTAATGCTGTACTACAGCAAAAAAGTAACCTGGACTCAGAATATTTTATAATAGCTATAATTAATATTAACATATTCGTTGAATTTTTAAACTGTTATACCAGGAGCACCCATTTTTCTTCTCAACACTCTTTAAAGATATAAATTTCACTTTGTGCATAAAATTCACTCTGTCAAGGTCAAGACCTACCTTTAATAAATAAGAACATTTTAAGCAAAAAGCTAAGCAGTGAATTAAAATAGAATATAAAGTTAATATTCAATGTCTCTCAATAACTGCCTAAGTAAGTAGTTTGTTTTTTCGGTTTTTTTCTTTTCTCTCTTTTTGCTTATTTACAGCAAAGTCTGAGAAATAGATATCTCCTTCCCCTCCCCCCACCACACACACAATAGATCTTTTTTTGCATGCAATAACCCAATTTCAAGTAACAAATTCTTACTAGCAATTACCTTTGTGTGTCCAGTTTTTAAGGATCGATCAAATTAAAAAGTGTACAGTATTTATTTTCTTCTTTCAGGTTGATTATGTGACCGCTCTGGCAAAAGCACTTTGACAACTGTAGGAAGAGAGGGCATGCGCACACAGGGAACTGTGGGGGCTGAAGTCTTTCACGAGGTACTCTGCCTGACTTCAGCACGTTCAGCCAGGAAAGGAGGAAGCCTCGCAACTACAGATTCTACGGGGAAGAGATTGTTCCCGGTTACATTATATCTTCCTAACCGATCTAAATCACAAGTTGATGAAATGAAAGGGGGGACAGAAAACCCGTTTGTCAATTTGATTTAGGAATCCAGGTTAAAAGAGAAACTAGACTCGGAATTCAGAGTATATCCAGCAGAGCTACCTTAAATGGTATTAAAATGGTACTGACTGGATAGCCAGCAATAGGAACCCAAGTAAAGAGAAAGAGACTCGGGTGGAGAGGTAGAGCAAGGGAGGGGCAACTAGATGGGAACAATAAAAACTTAATCTGACCACATGTAAAAGCAACACTTTTAATATAGAATGAAAAATACTGTAATATCAAATATGTTCTTAATCTTGGAGGTCAGATAAAAACAAGTTTTAGTCACACATTTTTTATATCTGCTTTAGTCAAACATTTTTTATATCTCATCCATCAAGACTTGTTTGGAATTTTTGATAGAAGTGAGTATAACATTTTAAATCTGATATGCTCTAATCAACTCACCTTACTGATACTAATCAAAATGAAAGTTTACTTTGCATTAATCATGCAATGATTCATCAAATAAAACTAAATTTTTATTCTAAAATAATAGTTGCTCAGATATTTTTTAAAATGTGTATGTTTAGTGTTTCACTGTGTTGGATGGTGACTTCTTCATTCAAGACAAAAAATAGATACTGCTTTTCTGTTTTGTGTGTGTGTGTGTACAGTTTTTCCTGTTTTAACATCATGATTCCAAGGCTGGAATCACAACATGTTAACATCAACTGCTATTATCTATAGCTTCTGAGAGCAATAGTTCAAGAACCAGTTTGCTCACGTAGGCAAAAGAGAATATTCCTTATGGGATTTGGTTCCGTGCCATTCACCAAGGGGTTCAGAGTAAATGTCAGTTGATGACTATGCTGATTGAACTTGGAATAGAAAATGTTAAACATCATTTAAATTCTCTGAATTTTCTATTTCCCTTCTTCACCAATTAGAACTGAACTATTGCCAGAGACCACTAATTGGCAGCATTTAGTAGTCTTTGTTTCTAGTTATTTCAAAGGAAAAAACCCAAACCAACAATTTAAGAAAAGAATCACTTTGAATGAATCTGCCAAAAGCTCTTGTAAAATAACCAAATGCTTGCTTATTCCTACTGTGACTTTAGCTTACATTCCCTATTTTTTCTCTTCCCTTATCCTCCTAAAGAAAGTTCCACTTCTCACCATTTGTATTTCAGAGTCTTCAAGGATCAACTCAAGGTTAATCTTCCTGAAGACTCTGCTAACCTACCAAACATCTACATTTTCAGTACCCTAAGTTAAAAAATCGTAAACTTGCTTCATACAATCCTTACAGATTCAAAAAACAAATTTTTAAGGTACTTCAAATTAATATGTCAAGATTTTATCACTAGAAAATTTTAAGTTATTCAGATGTGCTTGAAATGGTTTACCTGGGCACTTATTTATCTACCTAATCCCAACTGCGGCTCTACTACACTTCACACAATGGAAAAAGATAAATGTTGGCTACAACCCTTGATAAATGATAACAAATAATTAGCACTGCCCATACTTAATGGTATTTTTGTTGTATTTACAAATTTACTAATCTCTGCTCCTTCATTCCTAAAATGAGCACTCAAATCTAAGAAGCAAATACATACATACCAAAGTATAAACATATCAAGCAAAAACAAGTTATAGGAGGACCCTCAACAAGTACAAAGCCCTTCTGTACTGAAATTCTGTTTTAATTTAACCAAAAAGGAAGCACTTTCTAAAACCTTGGTTTTAGGTTATGGAGTATAACCATAATTCCCTTTTGAGTACTCATTAAAGGTTATAACAACAGAGTTTTCAGAGTTAACTCACAGAGATATCCATGGGTCAAATATATCTTCCCAGACTTCTTTTTTTCTTTCCCTTCCTTACTTCTATCTCTAGCATGGTGATACAAGTCTAAGAAATTGGTGAGGGCTGGCGCCGCGGCTCCATAGACTAATCCTCCGCCTGCAGCGCCGG